AGTAACAGTAATCACGAGAATCAATTTGTCTCGTGATTGTATCATCTGATACGTATGGGTTGAACTAACACACACATATATCTCAGCTAACTTACTAAATTAATTTGTAAACAGAAAGTCTGTGTATAAATCACAAATTGATTCTCGTGATTGAATTATGTATGTAATTTAATGTAAGAAAAGAAAAAAATACTTTTTTTATGTGTTAAGCAGTGATATTGACGGTCCAATATCTCCATAAATTCAGCCGATCTTTTTCTGAAAAATAGCTGAACATAATGTGNTGTAACTTGTGTACGCGAAGTTAGGGTAAAAAAGGCCAGTAAGTACTCTCGACTTAATGCGATATTAATTGATCAAGTTAACGGATTATGCATTAAATTCACAGTGAGAGAGAAAAAGATAGAAAACTAAATTCAGGCTAAAATAGAAAATTTATTCTTTTCATTCTTATATCTTTTAGAGCTATCATAAATAAGAAAATAAAGTCGACAGAAGAAAACTAAAGCGGCATGTTTGAAGTCCTAAGTTGAACTATGGTGTTAGAAAAAACAGAATATGGTAAGGCGAAAGAAACAGCAAGCACGAAAAGAAAATATCGAGCTTAAAATGCCAAATTTAAATAAAAAACGCTTCTTCTTCTTCTTTTTCTTCTTCTTCTTCAGAATGCTGGACGACTAATAGTGTTAGATTATGTAATTTATAACTGAAAACGAAAATGTTTCTGTTCGGTATGACCACCACATTTTCTCTTTCTGTAAAAATAAGAGAAAAAGAAAAGAGAGAGAATGATAATGATCTATATCAGTGCGTCTATATTATTGCGTGAGCAATAAATCATCATCGCATTGATATGATGATGATGATTTATTGCTCACGCAATAAATCATCATCATCATATCAATGCGTAGACAAATATATTCTACGCGTAGAAAAATAAATTCTACGCATAGATTTTTCCACGCGTAGAATATAGTCTACGTCTACGTTCTACGCATTCTGTTATTTTTGATGGATTCCCTAAGTGAGAGAGCAAAAATTGCAACGGACAATATTGTACTAAGTGCTTAGTATATGCTGTTTTAGTGACTCACAGAGCTAATTTTTCGAATAACAAAATACGTTTTGTTACACTTTTGAGTAACGAGGCATAAATGGTTATTTCGAATTTTGAAATAAATACTTCATCAACGAAATGTCGCGTTAACAAACCGAATACTGCTGGATGAATTTCTAAATTCAAGCGACCATCTAGAGACCATTGAAATAATTCTTCTTTGTTTCAGTTAATCGGAGATCATTATTCATAGCTCTCCTTTTTTTGGACGTGTGGTACGTTGTTGTTCGCATCGTGATATTGTCGACTTTTCACTTCCCTGTATGTAACGGACCTAAAATATAACTGTTCTGTTCCTTACCTAGTTAAAGAGTGATTCGAAATTATAAAACATGTACAAAGTATATGAAAAGAATAAACTCTCTATTATAAATTCAGAACAAATTTTATTTGTAGAAGAAACAAGAGAATAGATACCTTCCAAATTGAGACCACTTTTTAAATCTAATTAATAATCATTAAAAAAAGTGGTCTCAATCATGAAGCCTCGAATGAACACATGTAGCTCAATTAGTAAGAGACCAACTTTCATGACAATTTTACAGTAGACGCAACTCTCGTTCCTCCATCCACCACATGCATCCAAATTTTGTTTTCGTTTTAATGTGATAAATTACAAGATACGTTGAAGCCGTGCTTGAGAAAGAAAATCGTCACTGACAAATAATGTTGTAAAAAGGCTTGAGTAGCATATGTATGAATAAATAGATAAGGTTTTGGTTCATTTCAGTTGTTTTCGTGATGATATTTTTAAAAACCTTCTGGTAGTGTTTGAAGCGTTGCTAATACATTTATATAATCTATATTTTTAACACATAATTAATGGAACATTCACGTGGTATGTTGGTCAATGGATCATCTCGGACTGGGAAGGTATTAATTGCACGAACAATATGTGAAATATTAGGTATGAAACCCAAAATAGAGAATAGTCCGGAAGTATTCAATAGTAAAAATACAAGGTAGCGGTTTTATAGAGAATTGAAATGTATGCAGAACAATTCTAATTCTCATTCTCATCTAATAACTCTTTTCGTTTATACATTACATCAGTTCTAATTGCATATTTTCTTCCTTTAATCAAACGACTTCCTTCATGTAGTAAACGATGTTCAAAGACTAAGACCATTCCAGTTTTTGGCACACATTTTACACTGGGATTGATACCATCTGGATCGATAAATGTTGTGGCTCCACCTTTAAATCCTTCATTTAAATAGATTTGAATTGTTATAAAACTCATTTCAAATGAGCCATCTTGACGCTGGTAACATCCGTCCATATGGGCTTCAAATTTTTGTCCTACATCATATCGAAGAAATCTTAAACGTTCATTCAATCCAATAACTTTTCGATTTGGGTGCCATTCTTCAGGAATATATAATTTTATACGTTGCCATATTTCACCGGCCATTTCAAAACTATCTATAATGCATCGATCACTATTGCGAAAGTCAGGCATAGCTCGTTCATATCCCATTCCAACGTTAACCAAAGCTGGTTTATATCCTTTTGCTTCACTTAAATCAATGTATGTTTTACATTCAGCTTCTGTGAATACATTTAACAGAATAAATGCTAGTTTTCCTTTATCATTAACGCCAGGTAAATCAATATCTTTTTTAATTATACCATTTTTTGCTGATTTTGATGTCATTATTGTTTCTTTGTAAGGTTTGTCTGGCGAAGAGTTGGATTTGATGATAGGTAATGATGATAAACGTATTCCCATTATGATTAATAAAACAGAATATTCGGCGGAAAGTAAAGTATAAACGAAAATAACTGAAAGAGATGTATATATAGAAATTACATTTGCATTAGTTTATTGGATTTTCACATGTACAGAAGGAACGCTCTGTCTTTCGTCTGAAATAAAAAATAATTTCACTAAATAAAGTGACGTCATCTTTTACGTACAATAAAAAAAATTTCTTATGGAAAAAAAGAAAGTGTCTAGATTTTTTTTCTTTTTTCTGTTATTGCGTAATGAAAAAGAAATTCAGTCTTTTTTGTTCACTTTATTATTTCAGGTAAAAGTGACGCGAAATTTGAGGAAAAAAAGATTGCAATAAGGTCAGTTATCAAAGCTAATGCATCAGCCACATCGGAGTGATTACTGATATAATTAGCACTTGACAAACAGAGAACAGTTATGAGCAGACACTGTACTTTTGTCCACAAATAAAGAGTCTTCAGATAATAAAGACTCTTTATTAGTACCACACAAAAGTACAGTGTCTCCAACAAATGTTACTAACTACATCAAAAACACCAACCGTTTTTAAACTAAAATTTCTATCCCCTTTCTTTCGTTTTATCCAGCTCCTTTTTCTTCTTGTTCTTTTATTTTACATCGTGGTTAT